GATATTTAAGCCCCATTCTTGCAAGCCGCGACTCATCATGATTCTTAACTTGTCGCGATATGCTACATGAGAGGACTTTCTTTTCATTATTTTCCCGCTTTAGCAAGGTAACTGAATAATGGAAATTCGTTGTATTTTTGAATAAACTCACGAATAAAAATGTGGTGGACTGAGTCACCTCTGGCTGAATTGGACAGGCGATTTTCACATGAAGCGTTGGCCTCGAGTGCACTGCGGCGTGTGACGCAGTATTCAGTTGTGAGAAAAATGGCATCAGTCCTCTACTAAGCATGTTAACAAGCCTGAAGATTCACCCTCAGCTTGTGACAGCTGAAATGGATCTTGTGAAATGTGCGATCGCATCGCCGATCACTCTTGAGAAACTTAAAGATGAAGTAGGCTACGGAAGGACAAATATCAAATCTTTTTCAGACTACTGCAGCTTGCACTCGCACTGCCCGTTGGTTCAGCTTAGAGTCCTGCACGGGCGTCAAATTTAGGCCCTAGCCCGGCCCGTGTCCGACAGCTTATCAGAATTACCGACCCGAGCCCGTCTTTTTTCCCCCTTCTCCCAAAACAGCTTATACTACTGTTTCAGCTATTAAAATTGTTCAGTTTTGTATGTAATGGCAAAGTGATTATATTTCGTTTAGTTTTTGTTTTTTAAAGTAACGACCAAGCGGCCAGCGGCAGACAGTGAGCCTATGTTTGATCAATTTAGCCTTCTCAAATCATCACGACTTGCCTAAAATAAAATCTATAGATATAAAACAGTTCAAGCATATAACAATGTTTAAACGTTAAACCTAGATAAATGTGCGCCATATCCAATAGTTTGTGCGGAGAGTGGAAGCTAAAGCACACTTTGCAGGACATAGAGGCGCCAGCGCGATCACTTGCATTTTTTTCAGTGGAAGTAATACATCATTCGTACTTTGTGTGCACTCAGAATATCAACAAAACGTTGTGCTTTTATAAAATAAAGAAAACAAACATGATGTGCTTTCTGCCGTCTCATCTTGAACAGGAGCGCTTCAAAAAGATGAACCGAAACTCAGCGAATACATGCCTCACAGACATGATAAATATATCTATAGAAAGCTTTAAATTACTACTAAACGGAAAAAAAACCCGAAAAAACAAAAAAAAATTATTATAATCATTATAATCATAATCCTTAAAGATGCACTTATCTCTCTTTTTCATCACTAATTGATGGATGTCTAAAATATAAAAATAAGGAGAAGCCTAAAACAGGCCCGAGGCCCGGCCCGCGTCTGAACTATGACATGAAAATTGGCCCGAAGCCAGGCTCGAGGGGTGTAAAAAAGTCAGGGCCCAGGCTGAAATGCAGGGCTCTAGTTCGGCTACATCAGAAATAAGTTTCTCAGTTATGAGGAGAATAAGAAACTGGCTCTGATCTAGCACACATAGAACGATTTGACTGAAAATTTATCAGAAGAGATTAAAGAAAATTAGTGGTCATCTACGCAATTCTGAAAAAGAGTTTTTTAAAACTTTAAACCATTAAAAATGTTTTTTTAATTTATTTTTTACTCTTTGTACAGCAGTTATTGTTCATTCTAAATGTATTTTTAATGTAGAATATGTGTTACATAACTTACATGAAATGTAGAACATATAAAAAAAGTGCTCGTGGCTCGTCTGCCAGTGGGTACCCCCCACGCATAAAAGTGAAACTCCGCCTATGATTATAAGTCCTGTCCGTAAACTCTCTCTCGTCACATTATTATCTGCTTTACACAGCGAATTACACAAAATACTTGTTTTTAAGTAACGATAAACCAATATACAGAGGGCGGGGGGGTGGGGTTTGCTTAATAAACTGGTAAACTTTGGAAACCGTGATGAACCGTAACAATCATCGAGTGCTCCCTTCCATTACTGATGCAATCATTAGCACTCCGAGGGCTGCAAATAACCGTCAAAATAAAAGTCCACGTTTTGTAAGACAGATAGAGCAGACTTTTTTTCAAACGTAATAAACACTTTTTTCTCACTTCCGCTGACTGTCGTACGAGGAAGAAACCGTGATGAACCGTAACAATCATCGAGTGCTCCCTTCCATTACTGATGCAATCATTAGCACTCCGAGGGCTGCAAATAACCGTCAAAATAAAAGTCCACGTTTTGTAAGACAGATAGAGCAGACTTTTTACATAAACCCACAAAATATAAAAATAAGTACAAAAACTAATTAGAAAATTAAATACAATCAAGTCTGTTACACTCTGCCAAAGTCTTTTGTTGAAACCCCAGAAAGATCCACCAAAATGTAGCTCATATCGACCAATTTCTTTGTTAAACGCAGATATCAACATTTTAGCAAAATTACTTGCTACTTGATTAGAGTCTCCCTTAGTCAATATCATCTCAGTTAACCAGATCGTTTTATAAATGGTCGGCACATATTTTCTAACATCCATCGCCTCTTAAATGTTCTTTACACCCCCTCATCTCAAGACAGCCCTGAAATTGTAGCATCATTAGATGCCAAAAAGGCCTTTGATCGGGTGGAATGGGACTATCTTTTTTCGCTATGGATAGGTTCGGATTCGGCACCAAATTTATAGAGTGGATTCGTCTGCTGTATATTTCTCCAGTTGCTTCAGTGGTTACTAATAAATGGAGGTCAAAAAATTTTCCTTTGTCAAGGGGCACTCGGCAGGGGTGCTTTTGTTTACAATTGCAATTGTCTTTAGCACTAAAATCTACACCCTTTTTTCATGGCAGGGTTAAGTGGGGTGTCGAAGATAAGCTCTCATTATATGCTGATGACCTGCTTCTTTATATTTCAGATCCTTTATCATGCATCAATGACATTATCAAAGTCTTGCACAATTTTGGGACCTTCTCTGGCTATAAGTTGAATATCTCTAAAAGTGAATGCATGCCTATTAACACACTTGCCAGGCATATGCCTGATTCCATGTTTCCCTTTTGCATGGTAAGATCTAAATTTAAATATCTGGGTATCAATATCACTCAAAACTTTTAAGGACTATATGAAAATAATTTTCAAAAAGGAGTTTTATTCAACACACATTTGGCAATAAAGCATTTTCAAGAGAATACATTATGGCAAGGAAACGAAGCGTCATCACAACGTTCAATTTAGGGCTGATAGACGATAGTATCGTGTATCGCCTGTTGCTGATGCCTTTGACTTTTTAAAGTGCATAAACTCACACTAGACTGAAGTCAGTGTTTATTCTTTGATAGTGTAAATGTTCTTTGCTCGTTTTCTGTAGCTGCTGTTTGAATAACTGAGGAAATGTAACTGTTTGATTAACTGCTCGTCGTCAAACATTTCAAGAACATTCTTCCTCTCCTGAAAGATTCACGCACGTCTCTGTCTCCTCAGCGCCATCACAAGCCCCTACTGGCAACTCCTAACCACTTGAGAGACCTCTCGAGCTGTCTTAAAGCACTCTTACTCTCCCAGTTATTTAAGAAATTTGATAACTTGCTTTTATACTTTTTTAAGTTTGAAAGTAGGAGTAAATTTGATGAATTCTCAGCACTTAAGACTAACATTTAACTTAGTTAATTTTCGGTTTATTAGAAACTCTTTATCAAATGAGGCTGCAAAGGTATATTTTCATTCTATGATTCTTTCTCACATTACTTATTGTCTGACAAGTTGGTCTAATACACATGCTATAATTCTAAAACCATTAGAATTATTGTACAAACAAGCACTTAAAATTTTTGATAAAAAAAATTAGTTTTCACCATTGTAATATCTTAAATACGTATAACTTGCTTAGATGGGAAAACATCGCTAAGCTTAAAAATATTTGTTTAGTTTATAAGGTTAGGTTTATAAGATTAGGCATGGTTTAGCTCCTCCTCCTCTGGTTGATTTTATTAAATTCAAATCTATTGAAAACAGAGTAACTAGAGGTGCAGCTAAAGCTGATTGCATAATTCCACATAGAAAAACCTTGTTTGGTCAAGCTGTTTTTTCATTCAGAGCATCACACCAGTGGAATTCAATACCACAATCAATTAGAGAATGTGCATCATTTAAGTCATTTAAGCATCATTTTAAGAAATGGCTTCTTCATAACCAACAATGTGAACATTAATGTTGTTTATATATCTTAATAAGCTGCTTTCTATTTAAATTTTTTTAATACATATTTCTTTATTTTTTTTTATTGTCATTTTGTATAATTTGTTGTTTAATTTTTGGTTGAATTTCGTTGTTATTGTTTTTCTATTTTGTTTCTTTATTTTACTCTAGTTTTTTTGGCCTAATAACATCTGGCAAAGGGACTACCAATGAAAACTAGCCTTTGGGCTAATTTGGGTACATTTACATTCACAAATGTTGATTAATGTACACTGTCCCTTTTTTTGTGAAATAAATAAATAAATTTAAAAAATGGCACTTTGAGAAGCTTGATAAATACAGGCCCTGATCTTCAAAATGGAGGACTCTCCATCTATCTCTGGTTGGCAGAGTGAACTGTGTTAAAATGACAGTTCTTCCAAGATTCTTATATCTATTTCAGTGCCTCCCCATCTTCCTGTCCAAAGCCTTTTTCAACACACTAGATAAGCTTATTTCCAGTTTTATATGGAATGGGAAAATCCCTAGGATTTTAATATAATATATATTAATATAATTTAATATAATAGTATAACTTTTTATACTATTATTGGGCAGCTAATGTCCAAAAGATAATCTACTGGATGTGCTCATCAGGAGGTACTGATAGGTATGAAGCACAATCTAAATCCTGCACAGTAACCTCTTTACAAGGCCTAGTAACATCTAGCTTACCTATTAAAATAGCACGATACACATCAAATCCAGTTATTCATTTCACTCTTAAAATATGGACTCGTTCAAAAAGATTCGTTCAAAAAGAACGATTCGTTTACGAACGAAACATCACTACCGCATTCTAAACAGATAATCTTTGACTAAACCTTGCTAGCTAGCAATATGTCGCAGAGCTCCAGCTACGTCAGCATTAGAACTTAAGACAAGCGCCCTTGAGTCCAATATGCAACAATCATGCATTCCTGCCTGCAAAACTAGACTCTGCATTTAAACAGTGGCAAGATAAGTGCACTCAGTTTGGCGATCTTTATATTGATGGTCTTTTTGCAAGCTTTAATGATCTGCGTTTCAAATTCACTCTTAATTCAGCCAACCTTTTCCCTTATTTTCAGATACATCATTGTGTGAATGCCCAGTGCACGTCATTTCCAAATATTCCCTCAGAGTCTCCTGAAGACTCTCTGTTAAAAGTACCCTACCATCTACAAGGCCTTGTTTCAAGAATATATATAATTCTTATGTCCTTAAAATGTGTTGGAACAGACAAGATTAGAAGCAGATGGGACAAAGCGCTCGGAGTAGTATTTTCAGAGGATTTTTGGAGCAATGCCCTCCGTAGAGTGAACGGAAGTACCTCTTGTGCCCGATTGAGTTTAATGCAGTTTAAAGTATTGCACCGTATGCATTTAAGCAGAACACGGATTGCCTCCTTTAATCCTACTTTTGACAGGACCTGTATTAGGTGTCACACAGGTGAAGCAGACCTGACTCACATGTTCTGGACGTGCCCCACACTTACGCGTACTGGTCAACCATATTTGCTGCACTTTCTAAAGTGTGTGAAGCCCTGCTGAAGCCATGTGCTGAATTTGCAATATTTGGTGCTCCAGGTGATGAATCAAATTTGACTCAAAGACAACTAAACATTATTTCCTTTGCATCCTCATTGGCTCGCAGACAAGTTTTATTACATTGGAAATCTACAAATCTGCCCAAAGTGTCACACTGGCTTCAGGATTTAATGTTATACCTTATCATAATTCTCTGATAAAAATGTACTTCCTGTGGATTAATGTGATTTACATTGTTATTGCAATTTCTTCTTTCTTTTTCACCCCTCTCTTATGCAGTGTTTATGTTGTTCATTACAGCGAATTGACATTGTAATATTCCTGATTGTGGTATCCAATTACCTTTTTATTTATTTATTTATTTTTAATTACTTTATTTTTCATCATTATTTAACTATTAAATCATTCATCTTTGTTGTATTCTATTACCATTATTGTGATCACTATTATCATTATTATTATTATTATTATTATTTATATTAGGCAGTTTGTTCTGGGTTGGTTGGGGAGGGATTAATAATATTAAAATACAGTTTCTGTACAAACAATAGCATTTGTCTTTGGAATAAAGATAAAGGGGATTAAAAAGTGTCAGCTGCCAGAAATTCACTGTAAAACACATAATGTTTCCAGTATTACAGAAGGCATTGAACTCCACTTGCTCCTGATGATATGGAACCCTGATGGGCAGCCTCCATCACTAGTTCATTCATCTAACATGTACATTGCTTTGGCTGAAAGCATCTGTCAGACAGATGGCTTCAACAGAGATAGATGGCTGCTTTAACAGGGACGCGAGCCACCGGTAATGCTGCTGAGACCAATGAGTAGCAGACGTAAGACTAGAGCGGAGGAGTCAGACGAGGGCTTCGGCATGCTCATGATTGCCTCCATCTGCTCGCTGTGTTGCCTCTTCATGAGATTCATAGTCTCAGCGTGTCGTTTGTTCATGTTTGCTATCATCTTTTCAAACAGTTTGTGACTTTCCTTCTCTGCGTTTTTATTCTTCCTCCTGAAGTCCTCCATCTCTTCAGACATCCTGTCAGCCTTCTCCTGAAAGCCCTTATCCAGCAGAGCGGCCTGCTCCCTCAGTTTGCTGTCCATGGCATGCTCGGCCTCCTCTCTCTGAAGCCTCATCTCCTCATCCATCTTCTCCCTCATCTGTCTCATCCTCTCTTCAATACTCCTTCTCTCTGCTTCCATCTTCTCTTCTAGCTGTCGCTGCTTCTGTTCCTTGGTGTTTATTTCTTGAGCCAGGAGAACGGCCTTCTCTCTTTCCTCTGGTAGAAGACAATCAGGCAAATGTAATAAAGCTTGTAATATTAAACTCAGTTCCTGGAGGGCCACAGCCCTGAAGAGTTTAGCTCCAAGACCTTCAGGCTCATTTGAAAACCACATGGTATGAGTGTTGGAGCAGGTTGGGACTAAACTCTGCAGGACTGCGTCTCTCCAGGAACTGATTTTGACATTCCTGCTGTATATATGAATATACTAAAATGTATTTGAAATACATTTATTTCATACATATACTACAAATACATTTACATATTTATGTGCTTAATAAAAAATACCCTGTAATTCTACTTTTGGTATATTAACTGGTATACTTAAAGTCTGCTAAATTGGCAAAGCTAATTTTGTACTTAATTCATAATTGTGCAGAAGCAGTGCTGAAGTCCAACTAAAGATATACTGAAGTATATTTGATTGTGCTAAAGTGGAACTATTGCACATATACTTCAGGTACACTTTAAATATCTTGAATTTAAAGACTGATTTTATATCTAACATTAAAACACATTTTAGGCTTAATATTAATAAATGTGCTCCAAATGTGGCTTAAATCAGATTTGCAAATAACAGATTTTTTTTTTTTTGCTGTCCAGACTTTAAACAACCATCTGGATGAAACCAGTATATGCAAAAAAAAATCAGATTTTTGCAAGCAGTCTCAATATAGCCTAAGTGATACACATCATAAACCCATAAGTGAAGAGTTCTGCCTGATCCAAATGATGCACCATGATTGCAGTGCAGTTTAATCGCCTCTCTAACAAAACATTTCTGCTACGCTTAATTTTATGCAGGTGATAAGACAATTAAGGCTATTGTGACGTTTTCTTCATAACTATGTAACACTAACGATATTTGACATGCAAGAAATGTAACTTTGACGTGGATTATTTTTGTTTCTTGCAATGGGCTCCACTTTTTGTTTTTGACATTTTGATCCCTCTCTGGAGCACCCATAGTCTCGCTCGTGAGTACCTGATGTGCCCCTGGTCAAGACTTTTTTCTTTAAGAAATGTAATAAGTTTATATCATTAGATGAAACAGCCATTTCAGTATGGAACATGGAAGGAATACACTGCATTTGATTAATAAGTTTTTAGTTTCACTGTAAAGCAGGCACCATTTCTCTGATTAACTGGTTTTCTCCTCTAGAAGGAGCTATTGTTTCATGCTAAAGACTCTCACCCATAATTTTTTTCTCCTTCTCCGTCAGTTTATTGTCAGCCTGCAGAATTGCATTAGACTCCACCGACTTCTGCTTCAGAAACTCTTCAAGTGTGTCTTCTACCTGTGGACACCACATACATGATAACGTGAATCACCACTACCACATCTCTATGACTAGTACTATCAAAAAATGACTTCTACTACTAATACTAGGGCCAACTATGCATTGTGCATGAGTGCCATGGAATTTGGTTTTACATCACAACTGACACGTTTTGTCATATACAATATGCAGCAGAACAAGGAATTTCATCAAGCAGTTCTGCTTTTGTCCAAATCAACCATCAAATAAACAAGTGGTGGAGTCTACCATACAAAGTGTCAATGTCTCAGCCAGCAGAGTAGTCAGTGTCCTGCTGAAGGCCACTTCAATATTTGGCCAGAACGATTCGAACCAGGAACACTATTATTCCCAGCTGATTCTATATTCTGTGTACACATAGTCTAGGAAAACACTGACAAGCCTCTTACAGAGATCTCTTCATATCTAAAAGGCCTAGGTTGTGGCGGTAATTGTGTCAAACATTGATAATCACCTTGACTCCTTTATTGGCTTGGATTTTATATTTCTTCACAATGTCTTCAAGGTCCTGGGAGAAGAGAACATAGCCACCAGGTATGGCATAGGATCCTTTCTTCAGCTTCTCTGTCATTGTTCCAGAGAGGGATGACAGAATATTCTCACATCTTTTCCTTGAAGCCTCCTCATTTTGATACAAGTATCCATGAAAGAGTTTATTAATGCCTTCCTGCAGCATCACACAAAATATCAGAGACAGTAAACTTAAAACACCATTTAGAGGCTACAACTACTTCAAAAATAAAATTTAATCTGAATCAAAAGTTGAATGTGATGGTGCATTTAGATTTCTTTGAATGGTTAAAATGTCATATCACTCATTACAGCCAAAATAAAAAAAAGAATGGTGTCGATTCTTTCTAGCCAAATATGCCCAGAACTCCCTTCAAACAGCCATCACCTAATTTCAATGTATCCTCGAATACCAGAAGTTTAGCTATAGGGAACTTTGACTCATGAATTTTGCCTGACCAGTGTGTTTAATAACGGTCTAATTATATTATATTAACATAATTATTTAATGCTCATCACCTCTAGAGATTTCAGGTATGTCCCCTCACTGTCCTTGAAGGAACGCTTCATTAGGGCCTGTGTTGCAGTCCTGCTGAGATACTGGTGCTCTGATGATACTTCCTTCAGTTCCAGAGGGAAGGACGTCTTCAGCTTCTCCATTCCACTCTGGTACACCTCAAGCCCCTCCTTCACCGCGGCCTCATTCTCAATCAGTGCCATGGCCATCACTGCGTTCTCCAGAAATGGAACTTCACCGCTTGAAATCATGTCTACATATGTCTTCGCAAACTGACCCAGGACTTCAGAGGAGGAGAAGGGTCACACAAAAGAACGTTAACTTGCAACCTGTATATTAATAATATTCAGTTCAGAAAAGAATGGTAATATCTGATACTCAATTTATGCAATATATTTTAGCAGGAATATTTAGCATTTAGCTTACATTATGTCTCTCAGTATAATGCTATTAAATCACAAAGACATAAGGACATTCAATTAAGAAACCAGTCTGTCTCCCTACTGGTATGGGGGTAACATACACTGCCTGGCCAAACAAGTCACCATCTGGAGTTAAATAAGCAAATCATTAAGATTTTAGAATTGATTGTTGCGATTTGATCATTATTAATTATAATTGATCATTATTGCAGTGAATCATATATTTCTTGCATGTTGTATTTTTGGCAACGATTCTTTTAACCCTAACTGATGCAGTGCAGCATAGCTTTTTATTTCTCAAAAAACCATGTCAATAGACGTACCCATGTCCATATTCCAGCATAATAATGACAAGATTCATCAGGCTCAAACTGTGAAAGACTGGCCACCACAGAGTCCTGACCTGAACCCACTGAAAGTCTTTGGGATGTCAACTTTACGCTGACTGTCCAAAAAAAAGTTGCACACTTTAATATTTTTCTTGGATGGCATTTAGCTTTGATCATATTGTGCTTTCGTTGTGGCATTGTTTCGACAATGTTATGCAACATCATAACATTTATTTCCATCAAGAGTTGCATTAATGTTTGGCAGAGATCTTGTATTGACAATGGGAGAGTCGAGCTGCTCTGTAAAGTCGACTCCAGCACATCCCAAAGACTTTCAGTGGGGTTCAGCTCAAAACTCTGTAGTGAAAATGAAACATGAAAATGATTCCTCTATTTCACAATTTGGATCCAATGAATTTTACTTCATAACAGCTGACAGCTGTGCCAAACTAAGAAATTTACTTGTGTAAATGAATGTGGTAAATTTGGTCATATTTTATGGTTTATTATTTTATAATTATAATATTATATTATATATAATATATATTTATATAAATTTTATTGTAAATTTTCAATTATAGCAAATTTATGTCAGATCATTTCAGAAACCCCATTGAATCACCTCTGCCAGTGACGGTGTATCCGTCCTTCAGCTTCTTCACTTCACTCTTGTCAAAGACAAACTTGCAGAAACGTTGTGTGACCTCCTGGAAATCTGGGGAAAGGTCCACAGGATCCAAGCTCTCCAGATGAGACACATTCTCTGGGGCGGTTGGGAAAGGGAAAGTGAAGCACTTCCGGGATGGGAAATAATTTCGGATACATTGCCGTGGAAGGTTGAACTCGTTGACTGTTCTTGAAGCGCCTTTAAAATATGCATTTGTCAAAGAGATTAGCAAAATACAGTGTTGCTTCTAAATTGACATTCCCAGTTGCTTTCAATTGCTTGCATGCTTTAGCAGAAATTATATTATTAATATTAACTGACTGGCTGACTATACAGTATCTCTTACATACCCTTCTCATTTATGGTCAGATCATTTAAAAGTTTGAATATTACCTGGTTTCAGCTTCAAGGAAAATTCCAAGTATTGGTCCTCGGTCACGTATTTGCCTTTTATTTTTTGTTCTAGGGTGAAGTCCCTTACAGCCCAGATGAAACTGGGGAAGAACTTGACAAACTCATCGTCTTCATCCTCATCAGAGGATTTGATCTTGATATACTCAGTTAACTCTGTGACATATCTGGAGATGGTTTAGGTTTGGATACTAAGCAAACAGGGAACATCTTATGCCATAGAGAAAATAGAGAGCTACATGTGTGAATGGCTCGGTCATTTAATGGAACACTATGTCTGTATCCGAAATCGCCCCCTATACCCTCATTCACTACTCCCTACATTAGGCCACTAATACAGTTCACTTGACAGAGTGGATGAAAATGAGTGAGTGAATTCGGACACTGAGTGCACCGGAAGAACTGCAGCTTCTGCATAGTTTGCGCTTGATGTTTAATAATCATTTGAAACTGGCAAACTGGCAGCTCCAGTAGTAAGATTGAAGGATTTATCTTGAACTCTGTCATGGAAATTATGTATAAACAATGAATTTACATTGAATTTATACCTGTTGTAGTACGCCGTGGACAAGTGCTTTGTTAAATGTAAGGATGGATGGATGATTCAGCTGCGAGTGCCATCTTCTGGCAAGACGCGGGAATTCATTCGGCGCGCGACTCTCGCAGTGCATTATGGGTATTCTCTAGCCGTTGAGCATGCACCGGTTGTACACACGTTTTTGCGGTGAATTGTGGGATTGAATGAGTGCACTCGAGAATGTCCACTATGCATTCAGACACCACTACAAATGGCTGTCCCCTCAAATAGTGCCCTATTTAAGGGTATAGGGGGCAATTTCGGATACATATCTTAATGAGTTTCACATGATTATTTATTCCTTCAGTTCCAGAGCTCCTTGAGTAGCCTTTAGCTGATCAAACGGCTTATATTTGTCAGTAAACTCTGCAAAATAACAGTCTTAAAAGTTATTACAAATGCAACCACATATGCACATTAGGGATGTGACGGTGAGGACATTTTCACACTGATATAGGCTATAAACTTGCGACAAAACCGCAAGACTGGACGCTTTCACTTTTGAATTTGTGATCTTGCTGTAATGTTTGACAAGAAAATATAATTGTCTGTTGTGCTTCCATCTTTACACCTTTCACTTTCTAAGACTTAAACAATAAAAGATGGACGCATTATTACTCTTAATGAAAAGCACAACAATAATTTTATATAACATTTATTAACAAAAATGAATTAGACAAGGCGTGGCATACACCACATGCTGTATTATACAGTATATCGACTAATACATTACAGAAAGTTTAGCAAACACTGTGGAATCAAATAAATAAAAAAATTTAAATAAATAAAAAGGCCTCTGTAACGTCAGGTAAACAGCAAAGACAGCAGGCTTTTCAAAATGGAAATAAAAAGAAAATTAAAACTAAATTGGCTAAATGGTCATTTCAATTGAAAAGCAAATCCTCCATCTGCCACAGTTTCCTCAGTATTCGCGGCACGCACCTTCATGCTCGTATACAACCGACGCCTCCCTCCCTCTGATCAGTGAAACCTGACTCCTGCTGCAGCTCTGCAGCACACACTATATGGAGCAGAGCAGACGCTTTCAGTTTATAAGTGTAGCGTCTGTTGTCCAACTGAACTAAATGGTTTTTATTTCTGAAAAAAAGCAAAACGACAGTGAGGGCAGTACTGCGGTGGGCAAATAATAATGTATTTGGTGTACGACCGAACACCGGGTAATGCCGGTAACTCCAACTACCGCAGCAAGCCTAATCCACAAATATTTTCATTGCAGAGTACAAATACAAATTGCTGTGCATTTATTTGAGCTATCACAGGATATGTGTATATTTGTGTAATACATGGGTTCCCAAACTTTTCCATTCCCTACCTAGACAGGCATAATGCAATACCAAAAGACTTATGGTAAGACATAATAAATATTATAAACATTAAAATGTCAAATTAATAGTCTAATGGCTATGTTGAAATGAAGAGAAGGGTAACTGAGTAGTTTTAAACTGCTGCCTCAACTTATTTACATAGACATGGTGGAACAAATTTAAAGAACTGAAAAAAAATCATGTGCTCAAGAAGTACTGTAATTAAAAGTTTTATATTAAAGAGATTGAGTATTTAATATAAATAATTATATTTTATAAAACCGTAGGGAGCCTATTTTGGCAGCAGGTTTATAGACACTTTTCATGATAAATCTGGTGAAATGGTTAGCATGTGTTGCATTCTCGAATGCACATCATGTGACCCAAACTCACTCACCACACATGCAGAGATGGAGTTTGTGTGAACAGCATCTACTGTGAACCGTGCTGAAAAAACTTTTCCCATAGCTGTGAAAAAGACCACAGTCATGAGCTTCACTCTGAAATACGCAGCATATATAATATTTTAGTTAAATCGCAGCCTTTGCAATTTCATAATCACACTAAGCAATATAGTGATTTATATATTGTGCAACCCTAGACTCAACGGTTTGTGTGTGTGTGTGTGTGTCATTCTGCAACATAAATTTAGCTGCAGCCAAGTAACTGTGTGATCCACCTCTTCCCCTCTGTGACCCTCAGTTTGAAACCCCGAAGCAATATTCTGTGAGCTTGTATAACCACGTATAATTTATTTGTTTATTTAGTTGCATGCATTTGTGAAACCGTTTAAACTGTTTCTCAAAACCGATTGATTTAAACTCCGTGAGAGTAAAATAACACTGACTGGATCAGAAGCCATTGTTGTGTTGTCTCCCCTCTTTTCCCTCCACTCCACAGATTTCAAATTTTCTAGCATTTTTCAAAACTTTAATGAGAACTAACCATGTTGAAATATGAGAATTTCATTACTGTTTAAATTCTTACCGAGCAAACACAGGAAAAGGCAAGTAGTTAAACCATGATCTTTTGAACTTGCTATTTTTCCCTACAGGTTTAATAATGCTATTTCAGACATTTTTCACTGAACAAAGTCAAGCAAAACCACTCATGGACAGAAAATTCAGAATATCAAACTAAACCATCAAACATCAACTCAAGTATTAACAGTTAAGGTATAATGTAGGAATGGAAGGATACTGCAGTTCTTCAATAGCTCTGTTGTCGATTGTCCCTTGGCTGTTCAGCACTAGAGTGCTACTCAGAAGGACAGATAGAGAAAATATCTTGGTATCATGCTTTGAGTCCCCCTAGGACAGATGAGACACAACCATTTGACAAAAATGGACACTGCAAGAATGACATGCACACAGCCCTGACAGCCTAGGGACATTGGGTGAATTCCAAACGGCTTTTTTGCACCCTTGAAGGGCACTTCGGGAAGGGGATGCCATTTGTAGGGATGTTCCAAACGAAAGTGAACAACTGAATCCCTTCATGAAGGGCCCTTCCAGAAGTCCGTTAGCGAAGGGAACATGCGATGGTCACTTCACGGAAGTGATTTCCGTTTGTGAACGTGATCTTCGGTCAGAAGATCTTGCAATGCATTTTAAAGCAAAGTTGGGGTTGATTTCAAGTTCACATTCAAACATAAGTAGAATAGGCTAATTAAATTTGTCTATTTTAATGTAAGACAACATATATTTAGTCAGTGATAGAAATATGATTTAAGATGGTAGTGTAAGCAAGTTTAGTTTGAAAAAGTTTAATAGTAAGTAAGACACAATTAGACAATATTTGAATAAAATAATAATAATAAGAAGAAATATTTATATGTAACAAGTGATGGAGTGCTGAATGCTGCACGTTGTCAAGGTAACATTTGGTCAGTCATTCCCTTCGTCAAGGGAGTTCCAAACGCTTATACGAGACAGTAATGCCCTGCACCCTTCAAAGAAGACACTTTAAGGGCTCTGCCGTTTGAAGGGAGTAGGGCATAGGGATGCTCACTTCCGTTTGGAATTTGCCCTATAACTGACATTCTACTTCCCTCGCAATTGTTAAGAAACTGATCACTGTGGAGTGTCAGAATAGGGGAATAAAATAATCAGTCATCTGTGTCACATTCTATATATTTTTTAGTGTATCCCTATCTATATCCTTAAATATTTCTTTGTTACACTAGATAGTTCTATTTCTCAATTCATATGGCTTGGCAAGATCCCAAAGATTCGAAAAAGTATCCTGCAGAAGCCAAAGCATTTCGGTGGTTTGGCCTTTCCTAATTTTCTGTTCTATTACTGAGCTGTGAATATGCGGTCCATATTACTCTGGATTTATTAATGGTTAAGCTTCTTGTAAATCCTCTCTTATATTGCTCTTTTATATTTCCCTGCCACACTCTCTCCACTGAATTAAAACAATCTCAAAGTTTTCAAAGTTTTTACACAATTTTGGCTCTCAAGTTGTTCCCATGTCTTCCTGCATATATTTTAACCCTCTGTGTCTCCCCTCTACCCTGGATGGTGCATCTGCTCACTGGAGGGATCAGGGTATCCTCTCTGTAGCTGATCTTTACATTGAGGGTAACTTTGCTTCATTTGACCAGTTAAATGTTTTGTATAACATTCCCAGAAACCAATTTTTTAGATATTTACAAACACGCTACTTTGTTCGTGTGTTACAAACACACTGCTCATGCTCAATTAATGTGACAGCACACTTTTGATGGACAAAATAGATATGATTTCACACAAAAAGTGCTACAAATGCACAGAATAAGCATGTCCAGTGTGTTTTAACAATAATTGGACTATGTCAGAAAAGAAAAAGAAGAATCAAAAATATGTATGGAAGATTTACCCATTTAAACTTTTTCAATTATTCAGTTTGGGTTAAAGTATGGTGTAATATAAAAAAAAAAAAACATTAAATAAATAGCGCGTTCTATATCGAAGTATGACTGAAACAACATGATCTGAGCTGTTTTTGTTGCTTACCATTTACATGTGAATCCCCATGTTAACACACACCCAGAGCAGTGGGCAGCCAATGCTGCGGCTCCCGGGGAGCAGTTGGGAGTTTGGTTCTTGCTCAATGGTCTCACCTCAGTCATGATATTAAGGGTGGAAGAGAGCGCTGGTTATTCACTCCCCCCACCTACAATCCCTGAGACCCGAACCCACGACCTTTGGGTTGCAAGTCCAACTCTCTAACCATTAGGCCCCCTTAATGTTGTCTTACTAACAAGAAACTATGCTTCTAACCACAGGTCAAGAGCTATAGTTCCAACCACGCAAGTTTGCAAAGCAGTTTGCAAATGTTCGTTTGAACTATGGGAAACACCGAATCACTGAACTATGTTCAACTACTGTATTGGCCCGAATATAAGACGACCCTGATTATAAGACGACCCCCCCTTTTTCCAGATGTACCTTTTGGAAAAAGGCTTTTTAAAAACCAAATCTTGTTTTTTTCTCAGTAAAACACATTTTGTCTTCAATTATTTTCATATTGCATATTTTTCCTATTTTATTTTTTGTTTTGAAAGTATGGTAAAAACTGGTCAAATGTACCAGCATTCACATTTAAAAAATATACACTTTTTGATATACCATTAAAAAATAAAAAAAACAGGTAGCCCCTCTGAATTAGGACATTTAAGGCTATCCATCCAACCAAAATCTTATTAACAGTAGAAGTTAAATCTGGGTACTGTCTTACGTTTTAAAATCACAAAGGGAGTTTGGTCGCGATCTTTACAACATGCATTTACATATTTCATGGCACACTCGTTTTATGCGTATTTGGCGCCACCTATTGTTGTGGGTGTATTATTGACATGTCAAAGTCTAGACCATGAATATAAGACAACCGCGTTTTTTCAGATGTATTTCCAAGAAAAAAACATCGTCTTATATTCGGGTCAATACGGTATGTTGGTAACGACGGAACTTGCGACCATAGTTGCCTAATGATGCTTTTGGGAAACGCACCCCAGCAAGAGATTTATTGCCAGCTATGTTAACACACAGAAGGAGTTTGTTTTGGTGACAAGCTGTTAGTGCACAGACAGAATGATAACAATAACTAGTGTTGGGCTAATTACTGTAATGTAATTTACTGCTCATTACTTGTTACTCTTTTAAAAAGTAATATTATTACTTAATACATTACTCTCTGCCAACAGTAATTCGTTACTATACACTCCACAAAATTGGTAATCAGGGATTCAAGCACATCCAATTTTCAAAAAAGATAGTCTTTTTATATAAAATAACCCTATTGTTCCATATGAATGATCTTTTAGGCGAAAATGTATATTTGTAGATTAGCTTCTGTGCCAAAAGTTTAGTTTTGTAGGAAGGGTATTTTGTTGATGTCAAAGTTATAAACAAAAAATTATTTTATGCCACCCAACTTAGGAAGGATTTGGAGGATAACATTCCAAATCCTCATGAGTTATCTTATCGAGTTTATTGTGAATGTGTTGTTTAATGTAGTAAAGTCTAAAAAGCTAAGGCCGTCATTTTTGACCATTTTCTTTATATAACACATCTTATGTCTCCAAACTAAATTAAAGAGTATTTTATCAATCTCTTTAGTTATATTACCATCTAAATGAAGAGCCAATGCAGCATATGTTAATTGTGATATTCCCTCTGCTTTGGTGAGCAAAGCTCTTCCCTTTAATGACAAGTGATTAATTTGTTTTATTGATTTCATTTTTTTTAATAATAAAATAAAAGTTTAGAAAACATCTGTTCTGCTGATCCTTATTTATCCTAGTTCCTATGGAATTAACTTGTGTTTAACATGAACATTGAAATAAGATAGTTCTGTGCTGTGTTTGAGAGCCATTAGTTTACATTCATTCAATTTTTATTAAAAATCTGATGCTCTTGAGAACTCCTCTATGAATTTAATAGCAATAGAGATCTGCTTATCTTTTTGAAGAAAGAGTGTGGTATCATATAATTAATTGTCTCCCAAAAACAAACATATCTTTAATTGTACTGGCTTTAATGTGGTTTGCAAGAAACTGACTTACTATCAGGGAGAGATATGAGACATTGCAACCCTGTCTAGACAGATACAACCCTTATCTTCAGTGAACTAATCCCAAATATCTAAAACTATACTTATGTTATTCGTTATATGCCTATTCCTCATAAAGCCTGACTGTTTCATCATTAATTTAATCTAATAAGGTCATTTAGCTAATATCAGGGAAAATATTTTACAATCACAATTCAATAAGCTAATTGGCTGTAAATTATCATCAGTCATGGTGGGCTGGACACGGTGGGACTGAGATCATGCTTTAGAATAAACTTACTTTAGTTAACTAACAGTAATAATGAGCAGTACATTTGTTACAATATTTACTCATCTTTGTTAACATTAGTTAATATAACTGTTCATTGTTATTTTGTGTTAGGTCAGGTACTAATATTAACAGATAATCTTTTAATTTTAATTATATGTTATGTTGAAATTAACATTTAATGTTAACCAGTGCTTTAGAAGTATTGTTCATTGTTAGTTCATTTTAACTAATATTAAAAAATGAAAGCTTTCTAGCTTTCTAGTTTTCAAAATTCCAAACAGTAATTCATATAATATTTATACTATCATTATACTTGACAGAAAATAGCATTTTATTGTTTCTTTGTCGGAGTTGTACATGGATTGTTTTGTCATTTGCTGTTTTGAACCTTTGTGCTGCGTTGTATTTTCTGTTGGCAATTTGACATGCTTAAACATTTCTGACTTCCCTGGCCTAAACTTTCATTTCATTAAGTTTAATATGCAGATCAGCTAACAGGACTTTTATTCTTCTGTTAAATTGCCTGGACTTATTTCTGATCAATATTCCTGTAATTAATATGTTTCCTCAGCTTTATATAAAAAATATAAAAAGCATATATAAAAAATACACAATAGACAAAACAGAAAATATGTGTAAAGGGAGACATTTTCTCGTCAGTGGTTCTTATAAATGTTTTTTCAGACTATATCATAGATCAGGGTTCCTCAATAGGCAGCCCGCGGGCCACATCCGGCCCGTGAGAGAAAAAAGTTTGGCCCGCGCTAATTTAAAATAATGTGGCATGAAAATTCAAACGTAGCATCAGAGAGCTACATTAGCTTACATCGTGTCTACATCGGACGCGCGCGGCGCGACGCAATAAAATACAATAGAACTCATTATAATGAGTGATGCTGTCTTGGATGCAGCGCGACACGGCAAATCCCAGACAGTAAACTGCTGCCTCATTCTATTTATAACGACACAATGGTCAAATGATTTCCAAAGCTTTGTCGCATCCAGTGTAGATACGATGTGACAGCAAAAATATGGCGAGTGTGTAAAAAAGAAAAGTGGACACGGAAAATAGATAATAATAATAATAATAATTCATTACATTTATATAGCGCTTTTCTAGGCACTCAAAGCGCTTTACATTGTCAGGGGGTATCTCCTCATCCACCACCAGTATGCAGCATCCACCTGGATGATGCGACGGCAGCCATAGTGCACCAGAACGCCCACCACACACCAGCTTATTGGTGGAGAGGAGACAGAGTGATGAAGCCAATCAGTAGATATGGGGATTGTTAGGAGGCCATGATGATTCAGATGATTCAAATGTGAATGGACTGAACAGTTGTGAGCGAGCGAGCGAGCGAGCGAGCGAGTGACTGATATCTTTGTTATGGAATACACGTGTTGGTTCGCAGTGAGTTCACAGTTTTAACGTACAAGTTTGCTTTCATTTTGTTTTCAAGATCTGAGGTAAAATATCTATTGTTGCTTTCACTATGGCTATACAGATAATGCAAAATAATATTCAAACTCACATTAGACACTTTTAACATTGAATAAAGCACATAATCATTACCTGAGATTATCACTGTCATATTACGGCTATAAAGATAACGCAAAATAATATTCAAACTCACATTAGACACTTTTAACATTGAATAAAGCACATAATCATTACCTGAGATTATCGCTGTCATATTTTGTATGTTGTCCCTGCCGCGACGTCGCAGAAAATAAAAACCGTTCCTAAAATAGAATCCCATGTCACTTATTGTCACGTGTCGCTGTCACGGGTGGTTAGGACAAAAATTACATGGAAAAGATACTTGTTATCGCGTCGTGTCTGGTTGGGACACACGGTGTTACAGTTTGATCCCCTCAAAAAAAGCATAAAAATATTAATACTACCAAATCTAATAATTGAATCTGCAATTAGGGAAAGTGGGGCAAAGTTCTTCTGTATCTAAATGCAAAAATGTTCATAATTGTTTGAATAAAACAGACTACTGGGGAAAAAAATCTGAATATTCATCTTGTGACCATCTTTTATTTTAACAAAAGCAACAATAATATAGTTCAGTCATGAAACTCTAAATGGCACATTCTGACGGGGTGTTAACGTAACTGATGATATTCAGAGAGTTAAACGACATGGCACAAGCTGATTGGTTCATGCTGCATATGCAGCCAATGAGCTTACTGCCTTGCATTTATATGGCTGGCTAGCATTCACTTGAGATTCCTGCAGCACGCTTTCAGAGTTCTCTGAAACCCTCCACCTTCCCCAGCTCCACCTATATTGATCTGCTACGGGGTTATTTATATGCTATTTGTGCAGCAGCAGCATGTCTTAAATACTCACTGCACTGTATCACCGTATGCATTGGCAGTAGCAAGTTCCTGTACTTGCTTGCAGCAGCAGCAATAATCTACAACTAGAGCAATAACCAACAGCAGCAGCAATTCAGCAGCCGCATAGTAGATCTGTTCCGCCAAGACCAAATACATTAACATTGTCATATCCATCACCATGCTAAAATGTTCAGAGAATTGTCATGATTGAAATATAATAATTGTAATAATAATAACAATTATATACTGTGTATATATATATATATATATATATATATATATATATAGTTCAGTGGCCCTTGGCTTGGTATTGTTGGCCAAATTCGGCCCTCTGCAAAAACTAATTGAGGAACCCTGTCATAGATGCTGTTACATCACCTTGTCCACGTCCCCGAGTCCCTCGGTGTCCAGCAGCACCAGAGTGGTTCCTGCTTTAGTGGGGTGAGGCAAACACCACATCCAGATGCCCTTCGTCTTGGACTCAATTGTGCTGCCCAGTGCAAACCCTGATAATGACACACCAAACCCCCCACAATGACTTACATGCACGTGAACTCATTGATTTGACCTGCATGATGTTTCTCTGAAGCGTTTGGATGGCATCTGTGCTATTTGTGTGGGTCTAACCTGTTTGTTTCCCTGCCAGTCGATTCATCAGGTAGGACTTCCCGGTGCGGTAGAGACCCACCACAGCCACCACCACCACGGGCTGCTGGACCTGCTCCAGAACCTGCAACGCTGACTGCTGGACACACAGCTTCCCATCGGACGCCGTGTCAATCAGGCATACTGGTTTGTCCATGGCCACTGGAGCTGTCCAACAGACAGAAAGACATTTAACTTCCTTTAATTAACTGCAGTGCAGTAGAAGTGAAAGTTAGCGGGGTTTGAGAAATACTCCAATAATCCTATATTAGACAGTACTGTAATTCCCCACATGAGCAGCATTTCCTCTTTCTGTTTGGGGATGTTTGGGTAAATTTGGTGTTTCTCATATTGCCTTAACAACACACATTCACAACAAATTACACAAGCATGACAAGTTGCTGTAAGATGTGTTTGTGCGCAGCTACAGTCTGAAACCGGACTGGCTTTAGTTGATGCTTGTTTCTACTAGAAAGGTCAAATAAAAGTAAATAGTGTAATATAAACAAAGTCCTTTAAAGCTCTAACAAAATATGGCCAGAACATCTATCAAGACAAGTCAAGTTAAGTTCACTAATACACACACACACACACACACACACACACACACACACATAGAGTAATAAAATTAAATCACCAACATGAAATCTCAACTATGCGTAGTTCATGATCAACTGCAGGAGCAAAAACAAACATTATTCAATCTGCTGATGCTGACTGTAAAACACTGGACATTGTACTTTTTGTATTAATAAGAGCAGTACAAGTGCTTTAAATTATCTGAATTAAGGAATGTCCCTTACCTTTTTGCTTTAGTTAACTTCAGTCTAACTTCAATCTGGGTTGTGTACATGTTGTAGCTTCCTGATATTCTACCCATATTTCTTAGACACACCTTTAGGTCCAGACTCTTAATGCTGATTGGTCTAGAGTGAGTTAGGGGATGTCAATGATCTCTCAGTATGTCTCTGGTTATTCTCTTTGGCTGATTTGACCTCCTACTATTGACTGAGCAAAAAGCAATGTGCAGTTTCACTCTTGGTTTAACTTTCAAAATCAGCAACTGCAAACACAAAATCACATGACCAGGGCTGCTGCTGGTCAAATGGGTGCCCCAAACAGAATTGTACTGTGGTGCTATATTCCTACAAAATATTATTGATGTGCACAAAAAAAACTCTCCAGTTTTATTGTTAAGTTATTATCTAACTTGATAATAACTGTTTTCAGTTTCTGAAACTATGGGCACTTTTCTTTATACTCTACACAGAAAAACCCAAAATACACACATTACATGCAAAACTGCACATTTATCTTGAAACAAAACAAAACAAACACTTCATTCAAAACTTGTTAAACTCTTTGTGTCTTTTGCATAATCAGTGAGCAGTGAAGTGCATGATACAAACTCGATAAATGAATGATTTCACATTGTGCCTCAAGTACCACTCTTAGTGTGTAAGCCAGGGGCATTGGTAGGCCCTTTTCAGGGGGGTTTCAGCCCACCTACATTTGTACTCTGCCCTTTTAAAAAAGTGTGATTAGCTTTGTAACCTGTACACAAATTTGTGATCGCCTCAGTCCCCTTTAAAAACTCATATGAAAACTACAGGAAGCTTTGGCTCCTCCCCGTCTTTTAGTCAGCATTATTCAGCTTGTTCTTCAGTCAGCAGTGGCGCAGCACCAGCGTGTGGCAAAGCGTTTGCGTTTATCAATACATTGTTATGAATATCTGCACCTGGTTCTTCGTCATAAATGAGTCTCTTCTGAGTACATACCTCGCGACATGCTTCCTATCCTCTGGCCAGGTGCGAACTATTAATTTCTGACCCTGAGAGGTCTCCCGAGATTTGAATCGTTCCTTAACCTTCATGCACGTTCTCTGAGCTAGAGCTCCTCTCGCTGACGCGTTGAGGAGCTCAATGCTCCATAGACGGTCGGGCCCGTGGGTCCTCACTGTCACACTGCCCTTATGGTTGAACCAATAATCACCCCTCTGTGGAGTGGGTTGGAGTACACTGCGTTCCCTGAGGTAAGAGGGATTTGTGTTTCTGTGGAAACCCCTCTTTTGTGCTTCTGCTCTGAGGAGCAGTAAGCTCTATATGCATGAATGGTTATTGGGTCCCGCTATTTCTTCAGATTCTATCGGGTCTGGTTATACGAGACCCACGCTCTCTGTCGAGATAGAGAGCATGAGACCGTGTCCAGCTGCACCCGTTGACTGTCTCTTATTTGGGCCCCGCTGGGTTACCCCTTCTAATCTATCGCCCCCTTCTGGTCGAGCTAAGAAGTGCTCCCCTCTCTGTGAGGGTTAGCGATGAGTCGCTCCATGGCAGTGACATCAGGTAGTTGGGCCACTTGCTGCTTCTCTGATAAGCTGCCTCTATTCGGGTCAAGTCAGGCAGTGCTCCCCTCACCTCAGAGGGTTGTCTTTGAGCCTGCCACTCCCGATTGTGTGGCTGAGGACTTCTGGGCATCTGTGAGCAGATCTCTATAAAATCCATACTATGGAAAGTGCACACGCTAAGCTTCTGTGCACTTTCTAAAATCCACATAGTGGTAAGTGTGCACGCTAAGCACTCTGCGCACTTTCTAAAATCCTGTATGGTAAGGGTTACGCGTTGTCAGACTCGTTCACTTTCTCTGAGTTGGCTTAGGCCCCGGCACTCGCCTTGGGCTCCACTCAACTAGTTTGTCTCTGTTGATACATTTTTAAAGCATCGCTCCCCTCACTGTAGAGGGTTATTTATGAGCATGGTGCTTTCTTCCGAGCGTTCGAGTTCTCTCCCCTTCTGAGGAGTTGAATTCCCCACTCCGTGGGCTGTTCTTGTGGTGGTGTTTAGCAGTGCTCCCCTCTATCAGAGGGTTGCCTATGAGCACGCTACTCCTTTTCTGAATTCAGAGTTCTCCTCTCACGTGGAGAGCTGAGTTCTCTGTTTTCCCAGAGCACCTGGAACCGGCAACATCAGGCGAACTAGGCCCTTCCTCTGCCTCCTTGATGCGCTGAGTTTTTGGCTAAGCTTGGCAGAGGTATCCGTGTGTACCACAGCATGCCTGTACATCTGCTCTAGAGGCACTCCTGCCCGAAGGAACGCAGGATCCGACCACGGGCTGAAGGTTTGGCGGCAGGCCGGTACGATCTGCACCCGGTGAGTGCCACATTGCCACGCCCATCTCGGGATTGGGATGGAGCCAGTGCTGAAGCGGTCTCATATGAAGCAGCCCCAGCAGCATTACTGCCGCTGCAGCTGCCATATGCCCCAGGAGCCTCTGAAACAATTTCAGTGGAACCACTGTCCTGCCTTTGAATGAATTCAAGCAGTTCAACACTGACTGAGCACGTTCCTCTGTGAGGCGTGCTGTCTGCTTGAATGAATCTAGCTCCATCCCGAGAAAAGAGATCCTCTGCACCGGGGAGAGTTTGTTATTTTCACAGTTGACCTGAAGACCCAACTGGCTGAGGTGACTGAGCACCAGGTCCCTGTGTTCGCACAACTGATCCCATGACTGTGCCAGTATGAGCCAGTTGTCGAGGATGTGAACACTGTGTTCTCTCATAGGAACAAGGGCAACCTCCACAACTTTCGTTAAGACGCAGGGAGACAGGAACCTTGTATCTTGTACTGATATGCTCGACCCTCAAATGCAAAAAAAAAAACGGCCTGTGTCGAGGGAGAATCAAGACATGAAAGTACACGTCCTTCAGGTCGATCGCTGCAAACCAATCTCGGGGATGGATGCATTCGAAATTGCGTTTCGACATCAACATTTTGAATGGTAGTTTGTGAAGGGCTCGGTTCAAAAGGTCAAAGATTGGCCATCACCCACAGCCTTTCTTGGGTACAATGAAGTAGGGGCTGTAAAATCCCACCTTCATCTCAGCTGGAGGGGTCAGCTTTATCGCGTCCTTCGCCAGTAGGATGCCATCCTTCACTGAGGTGAACTGGATGCCCCTGAACTTGGGGGGATGCCGGGTGAACTCAATCGCATTGCCAAGTCTGTGAGACTCAGTGAGTCTGTGAGCCAGCGATACGGGAAGCACTAGCCAGGCTCTCAGAGACCGAGCAAGCGGGATCAGTTGATTTTGATATTCTAGGTATTATCAAAAGGCCAGAGTTTTGAGATTGCAGCGGACGAGAAGGTCAATAATGCGATATGAGCTCGCTCAAGTATTGAGGAGCTAAACCATTCCGGGCTTTATAAGTAATTAGCAAGATTTTAAAATGTATTCGATTCTCCATGATGTCCATTTTAAATACACAATCCCTTTATATATGAATGAAGTCTGATTTTTCTATCAGTGTTTTATCATTCATCAATTGTTCTGAAAGTGATCCCAACAATGTCGTTCCTCTGTATCATTATCATTATAGTTGTGGTTTGATCTCTGCTATTCTCTTAACTTTATCTTTATAGTTACCATTATCATTATTGTTCTTGGTGTAAACAGGCCTTGAGGGTAATAGCGACACATTCTGCAAGTTTGCTGTCATCATTTATTTTTTTCTATTACATGACGTTATCATTAGACCATCATATGACTACTGACCTCAAGTCCTCATTGATTTATTCTCTTAAATGTTTTCTTCAGACAATCATATGAATGTTGACCACAAGTCATCATTGATTATTCTCTCACATGATGTTGTCTTCAGATGACTTAAGGTCAACATTCATATGATGGTCTGATGACAGCATCATGTAACAGAATAAATCAATGATGACTTGTGGTCTCAGAAAACTTGCAAACCGCATCACTATCACCCTAAGCTCCACATACACCGATAACAGAGGAAAGTTTATGCTTTGTTAGCCAAGGTTAAATATTTTGCTAATTGAAAGTTTGATTAGTATTGGCTTGGTGGATTGGTAGCTTGCTCATGTTTGCTAGCTAGCTTGGTTTTATTTATTTATTTATTTATTTATGTAGGCACTAATAGGTACTATAAAATCTCAACATCTAAATATTTATTTCAGGTTGTTTCAGATTGAGCCAAAAAGTTAGCAATGCTAATCAGGTTTGTCTGGTTGCAGCTTGGCTAACTCACTGCAAAAAATTATTTTCTTACTAAGTATTTTTGTCTTGTTTTCTAATACAAATATCTAAACATTTTCAAAACAAGATATAATTAATTTAGAAGCAAAATATAGTAGGATAGTTTGTTTCAAATTTATCAAAATTTAGTTCGTTTTTGTTTAAAACAAGAAAACACAACCTGCCAGTGGGGCAAACAATAATTAATCTTGTTTGGCCTTTGAATTCAGATTATTATTAAGATTATACCTGTATTCATTTAATTCATTTTGCCATAACCACGTGAACTGTGACGTCCGAAGCTTCGTTTTCACACACAACCATGTGACTGCTTTGTATTCTGATTCAAATAACCCTTGCGCAGGTTTCAAGTGTCATTCACTTCTTTGATAAGAATAAATTATAATACGAATAAATATTTGCATGTGTATTTTGTGCATGTTCAGTTCGTATGAATCCCCGCTGCAAAAACACTTCAACCGACCATTCCACATAATCTGCATTTATTTTGATCATATATGCCTACATTTTCATAAATTGATTCACAGATTCATTTATTCATACTTAGTGTAAGTACAATGACATTTTATTTTTGTATTGCTTTATATGGTTTTCATAGCACAAATTTATTTATTTTCATGAAACAGTCCACAAATGGCTGGGACGCAAAGGCACATTTTTCCACCTTTGACCACAAGATGTCATTAGTGTGCAACGTGCTGAAAAGCTTCGAGTAATGAATCATTTTATGATACAGTTGAGGGGAAAGCCTCTGTGCTTCACAAAGCTTCATTTCACCATCATTACCTGTAACGG